CTGTGAGCCTGTGAAAGATGAGGCCCAGAGTCCTGGGTCTGAGGTGGGCGGTGGGCGGTGGCCGTGGACCTGGGCACTTAGCTCTTGCCTGTAGGCCCATCCGCTGGCATTGAATAGGTGCCGGCTGACAGCGCCCCTAGAGGACAGACCTGTTGGTTAGCAGGCAGTGCCTTACGCCCTGCCCCTGATTTAGTGGCCACACCCCCTTTGCAGTAATCACCGCGAAGCTACCTCTAGATACCTCTTTTCATCCCTGCCACGACCTTATTGGCTGTAGCTGCAGTATCACGATACAAGAAGCCCTGGTGGTCTAGTGGCTAAAGGACTGTGCTACTAACCAGAAGGTTGGTGGTTCGAACCTACCAGCCGCTCCACAGAAGGCAATCTACTTCCATAAAGATTTACCACACCAGAAACTCAAAAAGGGGTCGCTATGAGTCAGAAGTTTTTTTTTTTTTTTTTTTTAAATAGGGTCGCTGGGAGTCAGAATTGACTCGAGGGCAGTTGGATTGTTTCATGATGTTTACAAGCGTCCATGTTTGGCACAAACAGTTAAGCACTCGACTGCTACCCGAAAGGTCAGCAGTTCAAATTCACTTAAAGGCACCACAGAAAAAAAGGTCTAGCAGTTTGCTTCTGAAAGGTAGGAGGTTGGTTCCACCCAGAAGTGCGGCAGATCAACGTCCTGGCGACCTGCGTCCGAAAAATAAGCCATTGACAATGCTGTTTTGCACAGTTCTCGTGAGCCACGCATGGGGCGCCATGAGTCAAAATGAACTCAGTGGCAGCTAGTTTGGTTAGCGGTTCTCACACCCGCTGGGGAGTGAGTTAATAAGCATAGGTACACTTTGAAGAGCGTCGGGCACTCCGGCTGTGCGCCCGTAGGTGCACTATTGCATTAGCCTGGAGGAGCCGTCGGCGCGCAGACGTGCTCTGCTGTCAAGCACAAGGTCGCCAGTTCAAACCCACCAGGTGCTCCGTGGAAGACCTGGCAATCTGTTTCTTGTATAAAGATGGTTGTTGTTTGCCGTCGAGTAAGCCCCGACTCATAAAGAGCACAGCCTAGGAAAACCTCTGGGGGCATACATACAGGGTGACTGTGACTCCGAATCTACTCGCGGGCCTTTAACACGGTTAACCTGAGCCTTCTGCCCTCCTGATAGGGGAAGGGACA